AAAAGTACTTTTTAATTCTAGGTAGTCCTTTCACCAACCCTACAGGGCTCCAACTGGTGGTAACCTCGCCGGGGATGAGGGTCGGCGAGAACACGCGGGGCGCTTCGGCGCAGGCTTGCGCGCTGGCGAATTCCTCCTCCGGGAGGGAATGCAGCGGCACCGGCTCGGTCAACCCCGCCGCTCCCCAGAGCGTGGTGAAGTCCTGAGACGGGGTGTGCCCGCGGAATACGTTCTCTCCAGGGGGCAGATTCCAGTGGCAGGGAGTGGCCAAGAGCAAACGGCAGCCGGGGGCGGGGGGCGGCTGCGGGGGCGAGCAGAAAAAGCCGGGAGCGCAATGAGAGCAGGAGCAGAGCAGCTGGCGCGCGGCGCACGGGAGGCGGCTCCCGGAGGCCCTTCTGCTTCTTGAGACGGGTAAGCTTGGCCGGCGCGCCGGCCGGGGGAGCTGCGGCCCTGCAGAGGCCTTGGGGGCCAGGCGAAGGTCAGGGTGGCCGCGGTGGTGGAAGCGGAGCGCTCCCGCGGGGGGCCAGCGGCCTTTCTCCCCGGGGGAGCTGAAGGGCGCTCCATATGGAAGCTAAGGCCAAATGTCGCTGGAAAAACGTCCCTATCGCGGAAAGTTCCCTTGACCCCCAAACGGGGGGACCGGGTACTAATGATGCCCTTCGGGGCTTCCCAGGGCACCTTCCGTGCTTTGCATTTGTTTTACCCCATGGGAAGAGCAGGGCCGTGCCTGATTTGGATATGCTTAGGACACAACCATGGAATACCAAGCGACCGTGTTTCAAAGGGGCATGTTTCTAGTCCTCGTGTGTGCAGGAAAGCCTTGGAAGGCCATTTCTGCTACCGAACTGAAAAGTTGGAATCACTCCAGCCACTGAGTGGCTGCTTTTCATTCAGTACTGATACCATAAAGTCAAGCTCAACTCCTTCGGAGGTCACCGACTCAGCTGTGCAATTTTCTCAGCAAGACTATAGAAGGGATTTGCCTCTGCTTTGCTTTCCAGATGGTTTTCAGCTTCCCAGTCTAGCCTACATCTTAGGGATTCCTGGGAAGTCTCTTATCCAGGGATCCAGCCGAAACTAAGCAGCCAAGTCTAGTCAAGGTCAACCAGGGGCTGCTGTCAGCTAAGCACGCCTCAAGAGAGGTAACGTTCCTCAAATTAGATGCACTGGAGCCCAGGTTACTTGGAAACCCCGTCTTCTAGCAAATCCCATGCTGGTTATAGAAGTTCTATGCAGCTCTTCAGTGCCACAAGAATCCTGCACTCCACTTATGCTCAGGGGCACTCTTCTCAAACCCATGCTTTCATGTGTTCCATATGGTATAGTACTGGACCTGGAAGCAGGATCTGAAAATAAGGTAACCTGCTGGGGAATTTAGACTCCAAAAATGTTTACAGAGGGAGCAGTCACCTTTCAGTTCTGTCTCTTTGACTCACCTGTCTGTGCCCAGAAATGGGGATGCTTTCAGGTGCTTGTATAAAAATGGGCTCAAGAGACAGAGACAAGCTCCTTCTCCGCTTGAAGCCCCAAATCCTCCAGCCTCACCCTCAGGAGATGCCTGCAAGAGCTCCTGTGGCGATGCCTTGTTTCTCCTGTTCTCCCTGGCATGTGCTTGTCCCTGTCCGAGGACCAACGCAGGAGGAACTTTATTCTTTGGAACTCTTTCAAGAAAGCTCCAGGTGGCGGCTGCTGGAGACAAAACCCAGTGATCTGCAAAGACCAAGCATACCAGGATCAGTGATTTTTCTGGTTTCCAGGCAGAGAGAATTCCTGGTTGAGCTTACATTGCCATCTTTGCTTCCCCAAGCCTTCACTTGACAGATGCTCCAGCTTTCCCAGGGGATCCATCTTGACTGGAGTGCAAATGCCTGTGTGCCTGTCCATCCAGACAGCTGGCCTCCTCTCTGCTTTTTCCATGACCTCCTAATAAGCTGATGTGCTGTCAAGATGGTCAGGGCTCCTGCATGCCGATGAGTTACTGACCAATACTCCAACTTGCCCAGATTTTTTAAAGTCACCATGGTTTCTGTTTGTGGTCAAACCACTCAGGGAAGGTCTATAGCAGTGTTTCTCAACCTTGGCAACTTTAAGATGAGTGGACTTCAACTTCCAAAATTCCCCAGCCAGCCATGTGGCAGGTGGAAGTCCACTCATCTTAAAGCTGCCAAGGTTGAGAAACACTAATCTGTAGCCCCATGGAAGAGTACTCCCTGCTGTGCTAAGGCTGGGAAGGACTCCCGTCTGAAACCTGGAAAACTGTTGCCAGTGAACACTTGGAATCAGGCAGCTTCACATGTTCCATGTTTCTCTGAGTGTTTGCAAAGCTGGTGGATAAAAGGGAATACCATTAAAACGGGTGAAGAACCTACAGCCCTCCAGATGTTGCTGACCCACATTTGCAACCTCCCTCCACAGTGCCTGTGTTGGCTGAGACCTGGATTTCTGCAACAGCTGAAGGTCCATAATTCCTGAATTAGAGAAAATAACGGATTCAGGTTGTGGGGTAGTTGGTTCCTTTATTATTTATTAACTACCTCATTTGTTGAGGTTATGTATCCCTCTGTCCTAAGGTGACAAAAATCCAAACTGCCCGTAGATGGTGGCAGAGATAAACTCTTTGATGCCATCTAATGGTCATCTGGATTTTTGCAGCCCAGATCTGGTGGGCCTCCTCCTCCTCCTCCTCCTCCTATTGAGGTCTGAAAAATTGATCAATAGTTCCTGTAAATGACATGCCACAGCTTTACAGTCGAAGCAACCGCAGTCTGATTCATGCCTTGCACAGTTTGATCAACCTGCTGCCTACTGAAGAAATGCTTTGCAGAGGAACAAAGGGCTCGCATGAAGCCAACTAATCCCATTCCCAACATGACTTCCTCATTTCCCAATGTCAGGAGCTGCCCTATACAGTAATACCTCGGTTCACGAACGCTTCTGTTCACGAACAATTCGGTTCACGAACAG